TGTCAGTAGGAACCAGTCACTGGAGAAGGATATCATGTTTGGTAAGGTGGAAGGTCAGAGAAAAAGAGGAAGACCCCCAATGAGATGCATTGGCCAAGTGGCAGCATTGATGGACTCAAGCGTGGCAACAGTAGTGAGGTTGGCCCAGGATTGGGTAGTATTTTGTTCTGCTGTGCATAGGGTTGCAATGAATCAGTACCAACTCGATGGCACCTAACAACAACAACAAGAGGGAAAGAGACTGGAGTAGCTCAATTTCCTCAGCCCAACCAAGGTGAAGGGCTGACCATTGAACAGACAGACCTTCAGTTGTTCACAATATGCAAGTTCATGTTGAAGCTGAAGAAAATTAAAACAAGGCCATGGACCAAAACACGATATTGAGTATAATCCAACTGAGTTTAGAGATTGCTTCAAGAATAGGTTAGACACATTAGATGCAAATGACTAAACACTGGGTGGATTGTGGGATGGCATCAAGAATATCATACATGAATAAAGCAGATGGTCACTAGAAAGACACAAAAGAAATGAAAGGCCAAATGGGCGTCAGCGACACTCTAAAACATGCTCTTGATTAAAGCAACTAGAAGGAATGATGAAGTAAAAGAGCTGAACAGAAAAATTTCAGGGACAGCTCAAGAAGAAAAAATAAAGTATTATAATGAAATGTGCAAAGACCTGGAGCTAGAAAACCAAAAGGAAGAAAGCATTCAGCATTTCTCAAGCTGAAAAAAATCTGAAGAAAAGATTCAGGCCTCAACTTGCAATACTGAAGGATTCTGTGAGCAAAATATTGAACATTGAAAGGAAGCATCAAAAGATGAAGAAATGATTGAACAATATCGTTAATATCACATACAAGTACAATTTTGCTGAAGATAATTGAATAATGGTTGTATCAGTACATCAACAGGGAGCTGTCAGAAATTAAAAGTGGATTCAGAGGAGAATATGGAACACAGGCTATCTATCACTGCTGATGTGTGATCTGATGAATCTTGGTTGAAAGCAGAGAATACCAGAAATATGTTTATTTGTGTTTTATTGACTATACAGAGGCATTCAATTTTGTGCATCATAATAATCCATGGATAACAGTGGCAAGAATGAAAATTGTGCTTGTGCTGAAGCAGTCATTCAAACAGAACAAGGGGATACTGAATGGTTTAAAGTCAGGAAAGGTGTGTGTCAGGGTTTTATCCTTTTGCCATACTTATTCAGTTTGTATGCTGAGCAACTATTCCGGGAAGCGTAACTGTATGAAATAAAACATGGCACCAGGAGCAAAA